GGTACCGACGCGTATGCAATTTTGCTACACCAGTTAAGGTTTCGTCTAATATTTCCTGTAAAACCCTAACCTATCACGAGTCAACACGTGGCCACGTAGAGCAGTAGCGGTGTTTCTGGTTTCTCGCACATAACTCAATGAAAACTACAGAAAGTTCACTTATAGGACATTGCCAGAGAAGAAACTAATAATTAAGGTGCCTGCACCCGTTAAAACGTTATAATTGTCGTGTACACAATCAGGCATTAGCATTACAGCATCCGGTTCCAGTAAATCACTTTCACTAAATACTTGTTTCTATTTTCCGTCAGAAATGGTGAAATTTTTCAGCAAAACTGTTCGTATTTCCTTCACACGCTCACTACAGCCTCGCACTCACTGACCATACATAATGACTTAATGCTCTGACGACCCGTCTCCAGGCTATGATGGTCCAAGCGGAGGTCGTCTCCAAATTTAAAATAAATTTACTATTTAAACCCTATTGTGTACTCACAATCACTGTTTACTCAAATGGGTTAATACTGTTATATGTCAGAACTTGTTGTATAGTTAGATCTAGGTTAGGTTAGACTATGGTGTTTAGGTCCTATTGGAAATTATTGGGGTGTTGCAATTCAACCTTCAGCCCGGCGTTTCATACAAAGATCCAGGCTCGTTAATCCACCCGCCAAATCCCCAGTTTATGAATGAAATGGGGTTTACACACGACTCAAAACTGATGACGTCCGAACATTTCCGGAACAAGTGCTTCGCTCACGTCCTCTGAACCCAGCCCGTCTCCAAACAAAGATCTAAAAGTGATTTCATGCACCCGCGAAACCCCCTGTTTATGAATGAAAAGCGGTTTACACACGACTCTCAACTGCTGACGTTCGAACACTTCCGGAACAAGTGCTTCACTGACGAATTTTGTTCAAATCACAACGCTATAAATGTTTCACCCACGTACTACAAATACAAATAATCGCCAACAGAACCTAAACACCTAACCTAACCTATGCTTATATGTACACAATATGCCAATATATTATAATATTAATTTATACTTGAGAAAATTCCCGTTATAAATGAACAGCATGTTAAAATTTATGAATGCGTCTGTGGGGTCGACCACTGAATGTAATGGACTTGAGTCGAGGTCGGGTTGCTGAACCACAATTCTATAAATGCTTCAATCACGTACTTCAAATACAATTAATTGCCACCAGAACCTAAACACCTAACCTAAGCTAATCTACGCCAGAGAACAAACCAATTTTTAATACACAGTATCTTAAATTTGATGAATTCGTCTGGGGAGGACGGCCGCTGCTTTAAACAGCCTAGTGTTAGGACGGGTTGCACACGTTGTCACCTCAGAACATTGGCCGAATGTTTAGAACTCTTGTCCTTATTTCCAAGTGCACAGTCCCAAATGTTTTACCCATGTACGTTTAACACATAATTCAGTGCTTCTTCATAAGTCCGTCCTTATAAGCAACGCAAGTCTGCTCATCCAAGTTTCCAATCCCCCCCCCCCCCCTACAAAAGCACATTCGTTACATATAAAGTACTGTGTAACCAAAACTATATTTTCGTGAAAAGAAATTACCTTTTGTATGTGATAAACTTTGTGCATAATTTGGCCTATGATAGGCCAGGTTAGATGTTTTGGTTCTGTAGGTAATTATATGTATTTGGTGTACGTGGGTGGAATTATAAACTGATTCCTAACCTATTGCCGTTTCCAGAACGTCTTCAAGCACGTTTATCGTCATGTGTATTAAATATCTGCAATTTTTCTAATATAAAATATTTATTATATAATCATGTGTAAAGTATTGTGCATTCGTAAACAGGGGGGGGGGGTTAATTAACAAGCTTTTAGTCCTTGGTTAGGAGAACGAGATGAAGAGACGTGCGCTTTGAACAAAGGAAGTGAACGCAGCATTTGGGCAATGTTTCCACAGCTCGTCGTCAAAACGAGGGCCGTTGGGTCAGTATATGTAAGTCATATACTGACCTATTTTTAATCTACGTAAGGCATTACGTGACTTGCAGCTTGGGTTGAAGGATGTGTTGTGGTTTCCAGCTGAGCTGTGATGAAACACATGGCTTCGAGCGGGTTCATTCGAATCACGAACAACCTTTGGATTGCTTCCGCGCGGCAGTTTAGTATAAAGTGTGGTAGCAGAAGGACGTACTGTGGTGACACATAAATATGAAAAGGCTTCTTGAGGAATTTTACCACTACTGCTGGAAAAATAGTGATACAAGTTTTCAGTTACAGAGTGTTCAAGTGACATCACATTTTAATATTGACAGACTACTGGAGTATTGTGACTAGACTGTTGACATGAAAATAAATTTGTGTATACTGGATGCGGGTACTTCAATTATTCGTTATTTGCTTAGTAAGGACCGTGAACTATGTTGTAATTATCGGTGAGGAATAAGGCAGACATCAGGGCTAGAAAACGCCGTTACTGCCGGACGTGGCAAAGTGTTCCTTAGGGATAGTTTAGTGTTTTACATGAAATATTAGACGAATTATTAGACAGCAGCCTTAACTACTGTTGCAAAAATACATGCGTTCCGGTACCTTAGTGGAGTGTTTCTTGCTGTGTGTTGAAACATTACGTCGTCGTGCTAAATTCGTGTATGAGAACGTGTCGAAGGCAATGTTGGGTCAACCACTTGACCCAGTCTGACCCCGCTAGACGAGGTACTCCGGCCCCAGCGACCTTCAGCCCAAGGTAAGCATCACCTCGGTGCTCGAGCGTCACCTTTACCTCCGCTACTTATAAGTGTGGATTAAAATATGATTATTCATGTGGTGTATTTAGATTTTAATGTATAAAAGTGTCAAAAAGAATATAAATATTTAGTTTTTGTGTCATTTCAGGTAAGTTATTAATGGCTCATCGTGGGACAGAAATCCACACATTTTTAAGGTACGTAACAATTTTCTGTTTCCGTTGCTGCCATGTTATGATGTTTAAAGATTAATCACTACTTGGCAATAGTTGGATAAGTCACATAATAAACAAAGGCAGGTGCTATGACGTCGAATAATAGTCCGAGTAACAACGTCAGCAGAGATACTGTCTTTGGTCAAGTGACGAAATTTGTGACAAACAAGTGACTTTGTTATGTGTAGAGAACGCAGCTGTAAATTTATTCCCGGAGAAACATAATGTGGCACAATCGACAAATTCAGATAATTTTATAACAGAAAATTTACGTCAATTATGTACACTGATAGAGACGTAGTAAAATGCAGAGCACTTTGGGGTTACCGTATCGGCAGGCGTCTAAAATGAGGCCAGCATCAAGCTGATTTATGCAGTCTGAGGGATGATTCGTCGTAAATATCAGATATTAGTGCCGGCGTTGAGGAGAACAGAAGTGACTGGTGCTTCTGGAGGATGTAGTAACAGGTGAGGGTGTCTGGCGACATGTATAAGTTAGTGAGCACTGGAGAACTGCTTGATAATCACGTGTCCTCGTTTCAGGTTCGGTAAGGAACCTCAAACAGTGGGACTCGCGGGTGGAGCGGGTAAGATTGGCGTTAAAACGTGATGAAAAAAGAGGTAAAATTTTAAGCCTTGAGATGGGATCGTGAGAAAGAGGAGCAACCCTCCGGGTAGAGAGGTAAATGAAATTTGAGGCTTTGAGGCGTTTACACAAGAGGGCAGAAAAATCCTTCAAGATGCAGCATAAGAGGAAAAGCAGAGGCTTCTAAGATATTGGATGATTGATCAGTGTGTAAAGGAGAACGCACACTATAGACAGTCTTGGGTGTGTGAGAATGAGAGCAGAGTCCTGCCAGTTTTCAATGCCGGAGAAAGTTTTTTTTTTCGAAAGTGGCGGAGCTGTGTGGGTGACCCGAGCCCAAACCAGTAGTTAGAGCCTTGACGTGGCGAGGGGGCTCTTGTGTGCCGCCCTCTTGTAGGTGTTGATGGCGGCTCCTGGTCCCCTCTCCTGCCTACTGTGAAGGCTCCTGATCCTCCTCTTGCCTGCTCCTGGCGGCGCACAAGCTAAATATAATCCCGTGTGTTGTGACCTGTACATTCTCTGAAATTCCGGACAAAGGAACACAAGTCAATCCTACGGCTGCGGCCACTTACAGGGGGGGGAGGGGGAGGCTACACGCTACATTGGAGGGGGGAGGGGGAGGCTACACGCTACTTTGGAGGAGGGGGAGGGGAGGCTACACGCTACTTTGGAGGAGGGGAGAGGGGAGGTTACACGCTACTTTGGAGGGGGGGGGGGAACGGGAGGTCGAGTGCTGCCCACCTGAACCAATCAGATCGTCCAGTTAGCCTCGTCTAGTACGACATCGGGTCAAATGGGAATTGTGGGGTTGGTTTCCCTATAGATCCCTGGGATGTCGATCGACCCCTCATTGATTACCCACGTATAATGTTCCGGTTACCCCTGAGGTTACTTGCTCGTGTGCTCGTGCCTCTCCCTGTGGGGCTTCCGGGAGGGTGGGGGCAATGAAGGCGTTTTCCGATTTTATGTTATATAACTTCAGTTCATATTTCCCCTTCTCAGACTCGTGGGCTGTGTGACCCACGAGTCTGAGAAGGGATCCGAGGCTGATCACGTTAGAAGATCCGGCTCCACAGGCTTTGTCTAGGATTACCTTCTTTTGATTCTTTCCCCCACATCCCTACCCCCAGTCCCTACCTCCCCGTCCCTACCCCCCGCGTCTTCCTGGCTGTGTCGACTTCAGTATCCCTGGTGATGTCTCCATGTCACCCGGAGTGAACATCTCCTTGGTAATCATTACGGCACCTGTTGTTCCCCTTGTTATGGGTGGGCCGAGGCTTTGTTCCCACCCTCGAGTACACACACTATTACACCTGCTACACTTCAGAACCTGTTTGGCATTATCACATGACCCAGATACTCTGATGACTCTAAAGACAATACATTGTTGACCATTCCCGCCCTGATGATTTTCACACACATCTTATTGATTCTATGGACGCCCGGGTTCAGTTTACACCTTACTGGGCTGGCGCCCGCATCGTCGAAGCCTCCTCCAGGGAGGTTGCCGCTCCCCTAGATGCCCTCTCTTGCACTGGCGAGGCCCCAGTAAGGGTATCAGAGAACATCTTAATGATAACATCGGCACCATTATTCTCCCACCCCATGTTGAGACTGCAGAAAGAGACCCCAGGGACTGTCACGAGGATACTAAATATATCCTCGAAGCTCAAGGTCATCCTGTACTCCTGGTTGGCACCGTTACTTGGCTACCTCGCGGTCGTAGTTTTTTCCAGGGATATCCCTGCGCGGGCCCTAAGCCTCTGGCTGGCCACCACTACACCCACCACTACCACCATTTGTCATCCCCTTCAGGTATTTAAGGTCACCCCCCCCCCCAGGCCCCGCTGATTCTTGCTGGTGTCAAGGGATATTCAAGAGTTCATCCCTTCTCCACGTCTCTGCAATATTTGTTGGAAATTAAAGCATGGAGCATCAAAGTGTCGTAGTGAGGTGTCTTTGTGCCCTTTATGTGGTGTCTATGCCCATTCTAAATCGGATTGTTCTTCTCGTGCCTACAGTCTCAACTGCAAGGAAGTCTAACCTATTTCTTTATGCTCATATTTTCATTTTAAGTTTGAGTAGATTGTCTTCCTCCTCCGACATCGGGCTCATGTTTCTTTCCCTGAAGCGAAACACCAGGTTCGCCTTCTTTCTTCTTTTTTTCTAACATGACGTTTGGTATAATATTCCCCCTCCCTTTCCAGCCCCTTGTCTTCGTGAGGGGGCTTGGTGGGCGGCTGTCGGAGTGTGATGCTACAAAAGAGCAACATTTCCTCTGACCTTTTGAAGCCTTGTGCTCCTGGAGCTGTCTGTCTTTACGAATTTTGTTGGATGCTTTTTCCACTTCCTCCTCGTTCATTTTTCCTCCCCACCTTTTTTTTCTGGCTGTTCCTTCCAATCGACTCGGTGCCATTCATGTATATTATTTCCGTTGTCGTCTTCTGTTCTGACGCCGGGTGATTGGGAAGGCAGTTTCACCTGTAGAACTGTAATACCTGAATTGGTCAGGCGAGGGGGAATCTTTTATTTCAAATCTTGCCTTCGTTGCTGAGCTCGATCTCAACGGACTGATGGGTCTTAAGGTGGTGATTGCGGGGTGTATATCCATGATGCATCCCTGGGAGGTCCAATCCTGTCGGGTGTCCAATCTCCTAATTGCGGCTCCATGGTAGGTGTGTGGGGCTTAATCGTAGAGGTACTCTCCACGATTACCCCTATTTTTACTGGAGGGGCTCGGCACCGTCGCCTCCACACTCGAACACACATGGTTCCTTCCTATTCTACACTCTAGGATTTGTTTGGTCTTGCTAAGTGAAATATGTTGATCTGTCGTGTTGATCCTATGCGCACTGATGATTTATTCATCCATAAACACACAGTTGATTCATTGGATACTTTTGTCACTATTAACTCCACTTGTACATGTTGCAGCCGCTTTCTCAAATAGCGGCCAACTGCTTGTCTTTGTTGACCTTCATGGGTGAGACCCCAATTTGGATCTCTACAAATGGTTGATAGGGAACTCAGACACTGTCGTTATGATATTAAATACATCCTTCAGGCCCAAGGCTGACAACTATCCTCCAAGGGCCAGATTCACAAAAGCACTTACGCAAGCACTTACGAACGTGCACATCTTTCCTCAATCTTTGACAGCTTTGGTTACATTTATTAAACAGTTTACAATCATAAAAACTTCCCAATCAACTGTTGTTATTGTTATAAACAGTCTCCTGGTACTTAGGAACTCATTAATTGTTTAATAATTGTAAATAAAGCCGCCAAAGATTGAGAAAAGATGTACAGGTTCGTAAGTGCTTGCGTAACTGCTTCGCGAATCTGGCCCCAGATTGATACGTTCACTTGACCCACTCGAGGTCGTCAGCCTCTTCACGTAGTAAAAATCCCTGTTGATAGTAGGTTCCTTCCGTCTTCCGTAATTCTTGCAGGTGCCAAATGCTCAGTTCAGGAGTACATTCCGTCTCCTCGCCTCTACAATAGGTGCTGAAGATTTGGACATGGTTCCTTCAAGTGCACATGTGAGGTGTCTTTCTTCTTCCTGATGGTACGAGTAGTTTTCATGAAGGATTTACCCTCCGATGATTACACGAGTACGAATGTTGGGAGACGCGTCACCGTGGCGCGTCAGTGTTGAGAATGACAAGGTTAGAAGGGTGTTTGTTGGCTTTTACTATAGAGGAGCGGCGACTAAAGACGGGCGCGTGTTCGAGGGAGACTTGCCACACTGTAGGGCGAGATGTTTGTTTTAAAACATCGTTGTTTATGGCGTCAGCTGATCGCGAATTATTTGTTTTCTGTTTGGTTGTTGGTGGCGCGAGGTATATGCCTAGATCACATGTGGATAAATGTGTTGGTCGACTGGAGATATTTAGCTCCAGTCGACTATTGGATATTTTACAGATTAAAATATTAAGGTTAACTGTTTGATATTTTAAATATAAAGAGAAGTCACCCTCCTAATATATGCTCGATGTTAATTTGAAGGGTGTAAAGTTCTTGTTTGAAGTTTACTGTCATTATGATGAAGAAAATAGTGAGGGAAGTAGTGTTCAATTGTTTCTGGCACATGGCAGTGAATGCAAAGTTTATTGGTTTGTCCTCTGTTTAGAGCCGTGTGCTGCCAGATTGGTGTGTCCCAGCCATAATCTGGTCATCGTTATATCAATTTCTCTGGTTTTTTACCTGACATGTTTCGAAGTTTCATATTTCTTTTGTTATGAACCCATAGTATAGAGATGAGCATATGGCAATTTGCATTTCGTTACAAAATTTTGGGTGATAGTAACTTTAAACCCCGAGCATGTTAAGGGTTAAAGGCTTCTGCATATGCCACATAAGGTATTACACGACAGGTAATGTAAGACGTGTTCTGCATCGCTTTGGCCAGTTTATCGACAAGTTCATTATGGAGTTTGTCACAATGCGCTGGTCCCCATTGTATAGAAATATCATAACCTCTCAGTAGATGTTCATGGAGAAGTTGAAGGCATGGTTGGACAAACTCTTTACGTGTTGTGGAGGAGTACTTAATTGCTTGAATTGCAGTCTTGGAGTCACTGCAGATTGTATATGTCACAGCAGATAATGTTGTGATTATTTGTAGAGCTTGGTATATGGCGTATAATTCAGCTGTGATATATAGTTGATTTGGTAACCGCCATCCCTGCTTGAGATGGCATTGCGGGATCCCTACAGCGCTAGTGGCTAAGGTTGTGTTTTTTGGATGATGCGAGATCCATCTGTGTAAATCACTTTTTTTTTACACTTTATCGTTGAAACAAAGACTGATCCTATGGCTAAGTTTGTTGCAGACTTTAGAGTGGCGTCTTCCAGTTGTATTGATGATTTAGGATTTGTTGAAGCCAAGGTGGAATAAGTTGGGTTTCAGTTTGGAGTAAAGTGAGGTCTGTATTGAGGTTATTTGTAGCCCGTGTGAGGAAAGGTTGTGAATGGTGGGGAAGCGGGGATTATGTGGGCTAACTGTTGGGCTAATTTGTTTTATCTGTATGGGTGTGTCTTGTGAGCTGTGGTGTAGAGGGACAGATAGTTAGCACACATTCTCGTATGGTGGCTAAGCTTCTGAGGCCAGTTTGTTAGTATTCAAATTGTACGACGGTTGGGGATAGCCAATCACAAATCAAGTAACCCTCTGACGTCATTCCCCACAGAGCTGGTACCAGCCGTTCTGGTGACCAGTCAGTATTCTCACAGACCTCAGAGTAGGAAGGACCTCGGCTGGCCAGATATATACTTTACCTTACTCAATAAACTGCTGAAGTGACGATCTGTGTATTCTCTACAAGCCAACAACAACCATACATCCAAGAAGGTAACAAATAAATATCCCCTTGAAAGCCAAGAAAAGGAATGGAACGCATTGCGCTACATATAAGACGCATGACACTATTACGCACGACTCCAAAGCTCTGAAGGGTAGTAGACGCAGCCGACGTATATGCCTATCAGCAACAGTCTAGTTGGTTGCGAATGTAGATTGTATAGAAACGGAACAAAAATTTTATGATGTGCTCCCCATGTGGTGCTAGTAAGGGCTTTAAGTATGACGATTCGTGGTAATGTCGTCTGTTTAAGATTTTGAATGTGTGCTTTCCAGGTAAGTAAGGGCGAGTCGAACTGCATGACAAGCTATTTATGTTCTCGTACGTGTTGGAGGGAAGTCTTGTGTATGGTGAGGATGGATAGATGAACAAGTTATTCTTTAGTGAAAATCTGAAAACAGATTTAAGTATCACTAACTTGGATCAGCCCGATGGTAGCACAATTCAAAGGAATATAAGAATTAGTAACTGGGCTTCCACAATGCAAGCTGAGTTGGTAGCAATACTGGTAGCACTCGAAATTATTGACAATATTGAAGTAGACAGCTTAATTATTTCAGACTCCCTTTCCTCACTACTAGCAATAAATAGTTTGTAATCAAGTAATAACGTGCTTGTCTCAGAAGCCAGAGACATATATATAAGCATACTTAACAAGGAGGTAAATATATAAAAAATGTCGTGGATTCCTTCTCACATTGGCCAGCAGGAACATGATAAAAGTTGACGCCCTTGCTAAGGCTGCAGTAAATAAAAGGTATTGAACGGAATCTTGAGTTATCAAATAGGTCCCTTAAAGAATCATTAGACGAGAACTCCTGGATGAATTTGAAGACAGTAGAACAGTGTAAACTGGAACTAGCAGCTCCATTGTTTATCACAATGAAATGTGTCAAGTAAAACGTGTATGGGGCAAGTAACAAAAGCAGTAGACTAACAGTCGTTGTCACAGCTCGAAAAAGACTTGGCTACAGATATCTCTGGCAGTTCGGCTTGTATAGGGATCTAGATGAAGTAAAGTGCAAAGTGTGTGGACTAAGACAGGGACACTCCCGAACACTATATCTTGGATTGTAGTAAAATTTAGCCTTTTAGAGAGAAATCTAAACTCACGTTGTATGATATTGCAACCTATCTCATTACTAAAGATAAAATACCTGAAATCCTTGCACTTTGTCCATATTTCGTTCCCAGTAGATAAACGAATGGGATTAAGAAACAAGTAGTCTATTGTGAAGACTAATAATAAACAGCAGCTCCTCTTTGACTCTGTAATATCTCCATTGCTCAAAGTATGTATTAGCGATAAGACCTACCATTAATGTATAATGACTTATTGTAAATATATAGCTCTTGATATAGAACATTCTCTGTAACTAGCTGACATTATAATTATTAGGTGTGAAAGATAGATGAAATTGTTTATGTAATAATATCCGTTGAGGTTTGATAAAGAACTTTTGTGCCCTCTGATGGGTCTTTTCCTAGTGTGAGGAAAAGAAGAAGAATACAAATCTTCCATTGTGAAGAGATATTCCAATCAAACCTCCTGGTTTAGGTAGTCGTTTTTTGTAACAAAGTGCTCCATAGTACAAACATTTACGTACTAAGCAACTAGATAATACCACTTTGAACTATTCACCTTATTGGAGTCCAAAAAATTAAGCTAAAAAAATTTAAATATTCCTAGGCCTAGTATAGCACACACATGTACAATATTAAGCCTCATATACCTTGTATTAGGCCTCGGAAGGTTGGGTTAGTTTAGTCTAGTTTGTCTTTGCAACATAGAAAATCAAATTCCGGTTTGTCCAGTTTCAATAGTACCAGTTTCTACTCATTGCGTTGTACGTCGGTGTATGTGTTATGGTCCTCATCCTTCCTATAAGTACTACCAAAACAGGAAGATGGGCTGTATAAGTTCCTATGACATTCCATCCTCACCTGGTGCATTGACAACAGGTAAGTGGGTTAAAGATAATTGTAGCTCGCTTAAAGTGTAAATGTTGTCGACGCCGAGCATGGGCGGCTGTACGGCACGGTCAATGTCTTGTCTCAGGGAGAGTTCTTGAGCATGAAAGGGATTGAAAGGGTCAATTTAAGACATTCAGCAAGAGCATTGGCGCGCTCCTGAGGTATTTGACAGAGTGAGCCGTTGATCATCAGGGGAAACGGAGGGAATGGTGGTAGACCTTTAATGCTGTTAAATGTAACCCAGATTCTCGAATGTGGCGTAGTGGGCGTGAGACTGTCACAACATTTTGCCCAGGATGCGCACTTTGCTGACAGTATCGTGTTTTTAAGCTGCTGCTGCTGCTGTGGCTCGCCTGAGACTGTGACCCAGTTTTGTAGGGAGGGTTGACGAGTTTGTTTTTTCGTGGCATGGCGGCGTAAAACCACTGTTCGTATACATTCCTAGTTCCACCCGCGGTCTAAGCTTTTTTTCGTAATTGGGAACAACATATAAATGCAACATAAAAAGCAATAAACGAAAGCACCAGAACAATTTTATACAAAGAACATAATAACATCAGCAAATATAAAACAAACACAAGAGATGAAGTACACCTGTGCAACTGCACTGTACACAAAACATAACACACACAAAACGGAGTACAATATAATGCAAAAGAAAACAGGAGCAGACCCCACCCGCCGAACAACACACGGTCAGTATATATAAGTAAAACACAGCAAAACAAGACAGTGAAACCGCACAAAACTAAAACGCACCACCCACACGGTGCCACGATCACACACCAGGGGCCTGAAACATTGGGACCGTTACCACTACCACAACACTGAGATGGTACTGTACAGCATCAAACATCACCACAGGAACACAACAAATATACATACAAAATATGTGTAAAGAACAACGAAGCAACAAAACGTAACAGAGCGTAAACAACGCAAAACACACACAACACAAAGCACAACTCCAGTACAACATTGGTGCAGTCTCCGTGGTGTAGTGGTAAGACACTCGCCTGGCGTTCCGCGAGCGCTATGTCATGGGTTCGTATCCTGGCCGGGGAGGATTTACTGGGCGTAATTCCTTAACTGTAGCCTCTGTTTAACGCAACAGTAAAATGTGTACTTGGATGAAAAAACGATTCTTCGCGGCAGGGGATCGTATTCCAGGGACCATAGGATTAAGGACTTGCCCGAAACGCAACGCGTACTAGTGGCTGTACAAGAATGTAACAACTCTTGTATATATCTCAAAAAAAAAAAAAAAAAAAAAAAAAAAAAAAATTACCCGCTCACAGACACCGTGCACCAAGACACACAAACCAAATCACACAGAACATTACAGAAACAAATCCTTCCAAACAATGCACCGCTCAACAGTCCACAACAACAAACACATGAAAGATAAATATAAAGCACACAAACAGCACACACAACATGTCACACTATGTAATGAGTAACAACCGGGTAAAGGAGAAAACCTTCACAAAAATTATAAAACATATTATAGGACTAAGAGAACACACAACAAATACCCCACAACCTACAACAAATTCGCACACCCCACAGAAGCCCCTGTGAACAAACTCCCTCGGAAAAATCCGCCGTAACCACCCTCAGTACACCATAACCGTCCTCGCAAAAACCCCAAAACTTGACCCATATCGTTTCCCTCCATCCGTCCAACCCACAAACAAAAAATATAATCTGAAATCAATATCCCCCAAGTGTATTTCGAATTTTCCTGTTCCCCGAGGAATGGCAACCAATCCACCCGCAACCCTGGTCTACAAAAACCCACAGTAGTATCCTGCAACCAGTCCTCCAATCCTACAACCCGCTCGCAAGAATATTAAACATGCAATTGAGTCTCTTACACCCCACAATGAAAACTGTCAGTTCACCAAATACAACATAAAAGGTGCATTCGCAGGCAACGTCTCGGTTTAAGTGGTCTGTTAGACCTATGTCCCGACGTTTTCCTGAACATTTGATTGGCTGCAGAAATAATGGCTGAGGTGATTGTTAGACAGTCTTGTGTTTGGGGGTCTATATTATCTGTATCGGGAGACGGACAGTATCAGCCCATTGTTTTATCCAGTCTCTTAATGTTCCACTTGGGGGAGTGTTAGGGGATGGGTTGGCGGCTGAAAGTTGGGAAATTTGGTCCAGTGTGAAACTGTCGTTAACGATGAAAGTGTACCGAAACAAAGCAGATATGAATTGACGCCTCATAACCGGTTCTCTCTTTAAAATAAGTTGTGAGTTAGGGTTGTGAAAGAAGAATATGTGGTGCAGTGTCAAGGTAGTTGTGTAGTTCGGTGCCAGCAGTGTTCTGGCTGCCTCTACTCCATGTGGGGTGGTTAGCATTAAGATCTCCTGTAACAATGATTGGGTGTCGTAATTGGTCAAGATAAAAATCCAGTTCAATTAAGTTTGTGCCACCAGGATGTATATACTCAGGACAGAGATGTGTGTACCATTATAGGGTATTAAACATACTATTGTTTCTAGTTTACCGTTCAGAAAAATAAGTGTTACAGATTTACACATCGTGTTACGCTTGAAACGATCCCTTGATTGTTTTAAGCGTAGGTTACACATATATATGAATGAGATTGGGTGGATATAAAAAGGAGCTGCCTGGTATTCCACATTAGGCATTCCGCAGTTACCTCCATTCTTATGTTCTTATTACTTCGTGTTAAAAGGAAAACGCCTTCCCCCATACGATTAGGTCTGTCCAGTCTCTGTGAATGAAACTTTTGGAAAATTGGATTGTTTGTGAGAGCGCCTGGATTCGGTTACGAAAGGTATTTCAGATTTTGATGAGTGAAGGAAATGTTTAAGTTCTGTGATGGATGTTTTAATGTTTTTTGCGTTCCAAGTCATAAAGGTTAAGAGAATCAATTAAGATGTTTGGGTTATGGATGCCTCTGATTATTGCGGCGTGCTGGAATCCTGGATGTGGATGCGAGTCGTGGGTGATTGTGGCTTATGTGGTCTGTCAGCCAGAGTGCCAGAGCGTTGGGGGTTCGATCTACCAACTGGGGGGTTTCTTACCTTTAGTGAGCGTGGTGGTGTTTTGGTCCATATTTGAGGATATTGGTTTGAGTGTTTGCGAGATATTTAGTAAAGAAGTTGTCCAGCATCAGTTCCATGGTCTTGTGTATGTTTCTGGTTATTGTGTGTGTGTGGGTGTCACTGTCTGGTGAAGGATGTGGAGAGTGTGGGAGTCGGCCCCGGGGGTGTGGAGAGTGTGGGAGTCGGCCCCGGGGTGTGTGGAGCGTGTGGGAGCCGGCCCCGGGGGTGTGGAACGTGTGGGAGTCGGCCCCGGGGGTGTGGAGCGTGTGGGAGTCGGCCCCGGGGGTGTGGAGCGTGTGGGAGTCGGCCCCGGGGGTGTGGAGCGTGTGGGAGTCGGCCCCGGGGGTGTGGAGCGTGTGGGAGTCGGCCCCGGGGGTGTGGAGCGTGTGGGAGTCGGCCCCGGGGGTGTGGAGCGTGTGGGAGTCGGCCCCGGGGGTGTGGAGCGTGTGGGAGTCGGCCCCGGGGGTGTGGAGCGTGTGGGAGTCGGCCCCGGGGGTGTGGAGCGTGTGGGAGTCGGCCCCGGGGGTGTGGAGCGTGTGGGAGTCGGCCCCGGGGGTGTGGAGCGTGTGGGAGTCGGCCCCGGGGGTGTGGAGCGTGTGGGAGTCGGCCCCGGGGGTGTGGAGCGTGTGGAAGCCGGCCCCGGGGGTGTGGAGCGTGTGGAAGCCGGCCCCGGGGGTGTGGAGCGTGTAGGAGCCGGCCCCGGGGGTGTGGAGCGTGTGGGAGCCGGCCCCGGGGGGTGTGGAGCGTGCGGGTCTAGGCCCCGCACCCGCGTGGGTTGGAGGGTTGCCTGGAGGCGGGGGTGGAGGGTTGCCTGGAGGCGGGGGTGGAGGGTTGCCTGGAGGCGGGGGTGGAGGGTTGCCTGGAGGCGGGGGTGGAAGGTTGCCTGGAGGCGGGGGTGGAAGGTTGCCTGGGGACGGAAGGGGGGTGTGGAGGGCAGCCTGGAGGCGGGGGGGGGGTTAATAGAGGGCTGCCTGGAGGCGGGGGGGGGGGGGGATGGAGGGCTTTCAGGAGACGGGGAGGGGTGGAGGGTATCTTGGAGGCGAGGGGGGGGGGGGGAGTGGAGGGCTGCCTGGAGGCTGGGGGGGGGGTGGAGGGTTGCCTGGAGTCGGGGTGGGTGGAGGGCTGCCTGGAGTCGGGGGGGGGGGTGGTGGGCTGCCTGGAGGTGGGTGGTAGAGGGCTGCCTGGAAGCGGGGGAGGGGGATGGAGGGCTGCCTGGAAGCGGGGGAGGGGGATGGAGGGCTGCCTGGAAGCGGGGGAGGGGGATGGAGGGCTGCCTGGAAGCGGGGGGGGATGGAGGGCTGCCTGGAAGCGGGGGGGGATGGAGGGCTGCCTGGAGGCGGGGGGGGGGAATGGAGGGCTGCCTGGAGGCGGGGGGGGGGTGGAGGGCTGCCTGGAGGCGGGGGGGGGGTGGAGGGCTGCCTGGAGGCGGGGGGGGGGTGGAGGGCTGCCTGGAGGCGGGGGGGGGTGGAAGGCTGCCTGGAGGCGAGGGAGGGGGGTGGAGGGCTGCTTGGAGGCTGGGGGAGGTGGGTGGAGGGCTGCTTGGAGGCTGGGGGAGGTGGAGGGCTGCTTGGAGGCGGAGGGGGGGGGGGTGGAGGGCTGCCTGGAGGCTGGGGGGGGGTGGAGGACTGCCTGGAGGTGTAGTGTCTTGGAGGTGGGGGTGTCGTGTTGCCTGGATGTGGGAGTGTTTTGCTGCCTGTAGGTGTAGGTGTAGTGTTAACTGAAGGTGAGGCGTTGCCTGGAGGTGTAGTGTTGCCTGGAGGTGGTGGACATGTGGTGATGGGGAGACATGTTGGTGGGTGGTGCAGGTTAAGGACTGTGTTATGTTATTTGAGTACATTACTGTATTGCATGTTGGTGCTGGATAGAGTAGCTATTAGTAGTCTTGGCAGTTAAGCATGAAGGGGCATTGTTTTGATCTAATGTTATAGTTATCACCACAATCTGAACATTTAAGTATTTTTGATTCCCGTGTGTTCGTAGGAAAGGCCACCAGAGCAGATTTCATCTAATATACTTAGTACATTCTGGCGAAGTGTAGTTGAATTCTTTACATTTAGAGCATTGAGTTGGACGTTCTATGTATAGCTCTTGCTTGAGGTAAAAGCCATTTATCCAGACCCGATCAGGTCGTCTAGGAACGTAAGCAAGGCAGTGCCTTTATCACACAGATCTCCAGCAAATTTACACGCAAACCTTTTAACTTCGTAGGCTTGAAACTGCTTGTAATTGCACTTTGAAGTCTTTGTCGCTAATGTCTAGGACATGTTTGATGATACATTTCTTTAATCTGTCACCTAATGGTTCATAACAACGTACTTTATATCCACAGATTTCATGCAGTAATAGCAGAAAGCTCTAGTTCATCGTACTGGTGTAGTCCACTGTGATTAATTTATTTAGCTTGTTGGGCCTGATATTGTGCACCTTGATCTTTAAAATCTTTGGCATGTAATAGTCAATTATACCCTCTGTTCTGCTGCTTTTGAAAATACCTAAACTAGCGTTGGTCACCAAATGAAACTATTAAAGTTTTCAAGGCAGGAGAATTTGGTCTACTTCGGTTTAGTGGGTGTTTGTCATGAGACCCCGTGGGGCCGCGATGGCCAGTGTTGGCCTCGCGGTAGTGGCAACGGTCTGCTTCTTGTCTGTTCGCCTTGCTATAATGTCTACTCTCCAGGAAGGAGCCTTCTTGATCCTCCTCAACGCATGGTGGAACCATTTTGATCCGAGTGCGTACCAGGTGTCTGCATGTCTCAAAGTTCCCTCAAAATTGTCAAGGTTTTCAGTGAGCTGGGCGTCTCCCTACCCGTCGCCATGTTCCCTGTGTGGCCTCTCCTGTCATTCTATGACGGAGTGCTCTTCTCCCCGCACTCACTGCACCAACTGTGGTGACGGCCGCCCGGCCTTCCCCCGCACACGGGCGCACACACCACCAAGCCATCCTCAATTTGAAGCATTGCAATCGTTTATCTTTCCCCGAGGCGAGACGCCTCACTTGCCGTCCTCCTTCTTTCTTAGGCGTGTCTTATGCTGGTGCGTTGTTCTCCACTTCTGCTCACCTTCTCTCACTTCTCCTCACCCTCTCCCCCTTCTCCTCACCCTCTCCCCCTTCTCCTCACCCTCTTCCCCTTCTCCTCACCCCTCTCCTCCTTCTCCTCACCCCTCCCCCCCTTCTCCTCACCCTCTTCCCCTTCTCCTCACCCTCTCCCCCTTCTCCTAACTACCTATAACTAACTTTCTCCTAACTCTTAACTAACTATACCTCAATAACCTTATTGCAATTAAAAATTCAAGGCGTCATAAGCAACGCAAGTTTGATGAATCATACCCAAAGGAACAGATAGAGTTAATGGGCGCAGAGGGTTGGGGCACATCAGGGTTTGGAACACTCAGAGTTAACTCACATTACCAAGATAATTTTCATGTCCTGACACAAATAGAACCAGCCATGAGCCTTGGTCGTGTAACTGATGATGGTGATGTTTGGGCTGGATCAGATAATGTGATCCTTGCTGCATGAATAATTTTCCCAAGAGCAATAGGAATATTCTTGGACTGGAAGATTTCTAGTAAATGGACACTGGGGACATATGTTCGATGTTCATCTTGAACAATGTCCTGTATTCGCAAGCTCCTAAATTTGAATAACAAAAATCAAAAGCACCATTGGTCTGCAGTTCTTTGATAGGAAGCCATTGGATGCTAAAACCTAAATTCATTATGTTGGCCAATCTACAAAGTATTTAATCGTTCCTGTTCCTTATACAGACTTCTAATCAAGTTAAATGGTTTCCTCATATATGTGGGCGAGTGTGTTCCAGGATATTGTTACAACAATCTCTGCCACAGTATTAATACTGCAGACCCAGGCGAGTGAGTCGCCATCCATCCTTATCTTGTCTACTATGTTAGCTCGAGATACTTGCTTAAATTAAGCCCTGCCCCTCCAACTTTAAAATTCCTATTTTCTGATGGAAACATATATTATTAAATAGTTTAAGAACCTTCAGCTAAACAAAATTATCCAAAAGGTTTCCCTCAGAGTATAGTTACACTGGTCATCCCATCTTAACCTGTTCTAGAGAAGTTATTGACAAAACGGGTTTTCGCTCTTAATGTGTTAAGATCACACCAAAATCTGTTCTCTGCCAAATTGCCATGTGATTGTTCTTGTAATTCCTGGGAAAAAACAGTTTCATCGAACACTTTAACCCAACAAACCCTTACATGACCTTGCATTTTTACTTTAATCTATCTCAATACCGAATACTTTACTGCATTTACCACTGTTACATTATATTTTATCTCAGGTAAGTATAGTTTTCTATAATGATTCTCATACCCCCCCCCCCCATCCCACCCTCACTCTTCCTTTCTTCTCTTCCACCTATTTCCTCTAACGTTTTCACATAATTTATACTAAAGTATATTTACAACATGTCTATACGCGAAACTTTACTCTCAATACCACATACTTTTAACAGGTTATATGTCTTAAGTATAATTTACATGCAACCTTTTACCTGCATTTTCCAAAACCCTTCTTTAACCTGTCACAATATTTTTTTTTGAAAGTTACGTAAGTGTAAGTTGAAAAACAATTGTTGTAATAAGTCTTTCGGGCTGTCTTTGACTATGCGAGTCTGAATGTCTTAGATAACTAGGATGTCTTGTTTCTATAATATGCTGAATCTAATACTATAAAATAAGTTTAACTTCTACTGTTGTAGAATAAGTGCATGTATGGAGACGTGATATGTGTCCATCTGTAATCTGTTTGGTGTTAGATATAAAAGGATGAAAATTGACGATGATTTTAGTTTGGAAGTAATGTATTGCTTGTATGATGGGAAGTAAGGTGAAGTATTAGCCTATAACTGCAAGTGAGTTGGGTAAGGTGATTAGCGGTAAGATATGGAGTAAGGTGAAGTATTGTTTTCAGTAGCAAGAATATTGTTAGTCTCATGGAGTCATGTCTTAAGGAACGAAAATTTGTAAATATTATACTATTCAAAAATACAGAGAATGTGAAATGGGCAAGTGTTTACTACATTAAATTTTGCTGGCCAGAGGTGAGGATGTGGAAGGGGGGAGATAGAGGAAGTGGTGAGGAGGGAAAAGGGATGGGGAGGGAGTATGGTATGTGTATGGGTTGGAATGGGTGGAGCCAGGTGGATTGCTGGAGAGGAGGATGGACTGCTGGTAATGTGTGAGGGAACTCTTGGTACAAGTGCTGGAGGCCTGCAGCCCCTGATGGGGGTTGGTGAAAGGAATCATGCTACTTTGGTGGTGGTGGAGGTTGAGGGGGAGGGGGGGGAGGGCAGTTCTAAAACGGGAGGTCCAGTGCTGTCCACTTGAACCAATCGCCTCGTCCAGTTAGCCCCGTCTAGTAGGGCATTGGATCAAGTGGGCATTGTGAGGTTGGTTTCCCTACCGATCCCTGGGATGCCATTCGGCCCCTCATTGGTTACCCACGTACAATGTTAAGGTTACCCCTGAGGTTACTTGCCCATGTGCTTGTGCCTCCCCTTATAGGGATCCCTGGGGGGTAGGGGCAGTGAAGTCGGTCTGATTTTTTCTTTTTTTATTTAACTTCACTTGATATTCCCCCTTCTCAGTCGTGGGTTGGGTGACCAGGCTCCAAGGTTGGATCACGTTGGATGATCCAGCTCAATAGCTTCGGTTGTATCGGGCCAAGACCAGGCTTTGTCTAGGATTGCCCTCTTTTGGTTCCTTCCCCCCACCCCTTGCTACTTGCTGGCAGTGTCGACTTTTGTGTCCCCAGTGATGTCTACCCTGTCACCCAGAGTGAACATCTCCTTGGTAGTTACTACGGCACCTTTTGTTCCCCCTTGTTATGGGTGGCCGTAGGCGTTGTTCCCACCGTAGAGTGTACACACTCCTACGCCTGCTACACTTCAGAACCTATTTGGCACAATCATATGGCCCAGATAATCTGAGGTAATCATTGTGGACCATTCCAGCCCTGATGATATTCCAACACAGACATCTTATTGATTCTGTGGATGTCCGGGTACAGTTTACTCCATTTCAGACTGGCACCCCCATCGTCGAAGTCCCCACTAAGAAGGCAGCCGCTCGCCTAACTGCCGTTTCTCGCATTAGCGAGGCCCCAGCTTAAATATCAAAGAACATTTTGCTGTATGCCAGCATCGTGCTATCCTTCTTCCACCCATGTTGAGACTGCGGAAAGAGACTGACCTCAGTGACTGACATAAGGATACTATATATGGCCTCGAAGCTCAGGGGTCATCCTGTACTCCTGGTTGGAAAGTTTACTTGGCTACCTCGCTGTCATTGTCGTCATTCCCTTATTGTAAGTTTCCTTTGATAGTACAACCCTCCCGTCCTCGGTGATTCTTGCAGGTGCCAAGTGCTTCGTTTAAGAGTAAATCCCTTCTCCACGTCTCTGCAATAGGTGTTGAAATTTGTTACGTGGTGCATCGATGTGTCGTAGTGAGACGTCGTTGGGCCCTTTATATGGTTCCTATTCTAGGCCAGGCTGTTCTTCTCGTACCTACTATCTCAACTGCTAAGCATACCCTATTTTTTTCACGTTCATGTTTTCATTATAGTTTGAGCAGAATGTCTTCCTCCTTCGACAACAGGCTTACGTTTATTTTCCTGAAGCGAAACTCTAGGACCACCTTCATTCTTCTTTCCCTAGAATGACTTGTGCTTCTCTGCCCCACCCTTCTACTCCTCCTTCCAGTTCTCAGTTGTTTTTGTACTTTGAATCCCAATACATCAAAACGTTCCTCTTCTTCCCCCCCCCCCCCTCTTTCCTACAATCTAAGTATTTCGGTAACCCTCCAGTGCCATTGACTGACGTTTGCACCCCGTCTATCCGATTTTTCCCCTGCCTCGATTTCATTTCGCCATTCAACATTTGAATCTTATTTTCCCAATGTAGACCTCTTTGACTCTCGGGTCTTTCTTTATCAGTCCTTCCCTGTCTTCTGACATTCCCAGCATGTGATCGTTCGGGATGATATCCACCCTCCGCGTGTTTGTCCTCTAGTTACACGTTTACATTTTCCTTCCCCCCACCAGAGACAATTGCGGCTATCTCAGGGTTTCTTTCCGCCACCGTTCCTGGGCCTGTTAGTCAGAAATACAAACCTGGCTCCCAACCACTTCCCCCCCTCTATCATTCCAGCAGGTAAGAAGGCATTTGTCCTTCCCTCTCCTCGTACCTCCGTTACTTCTCCTGACTTCATTGTGAAATCATCTGACCCCTCTCTATGTAGTCCTGTTGCTCTTGCTTTCTTCTCTGATGCAACTACTCCTCCAGAGTGCGCCGTTGTTTCTATCACTGCTCGGTCTGCCCGTCTTGGCCACTCCTTCCCACTGCCTTCACTGGACGCTGTCGACTCTCCTGTGCCACTTTGTGTCTCTCTCAACTTGCGTCGTCTCTGTTGACTTTCGCCGATGCCCTCCAACCCTGATTTCTCTGATATCTCTCCTGATTCTGACTCTTCCTAATTTTTTGCTTTTTTTACCATGTATTTTTTTCCCTTCGTTATTCTTATCATAGCTGTTCTTTCCTATGTCTGTCATCCAACCGTGGCTTTTACCACAATTTCGGTGAGCCGAATCTTTTTGATTTCACGGTTTTCATTGCTTGGTGTTTGTCTTCAGGACCTGATGCTTGGCACTCGTCTCAATCAGTTCTGTGGATATACCTTTTTTCTCCTCTCCATCTTCTTCCAATACCCCAACCTCTACTGCTCTCTTGATCCGGTACTATATTCCTTTTGTTCTTCTCTTTCTGTTGAATGTTCCATGTACTGTGGCTCATATATTGATAGGTAAATGGTGTACGATATGCTTAGAGAATTTCCCTCTTAGTGTTCCGATTTCTCTTCGTGATCTTGAACACCTTTAAGACTCTCTGCAAAAACCTATGTTCCTCTTGGAAAATTTTAACTGTCGTTATGCCCTCTGGGGACGATGTCCTTAAGAGTTCCTGAGACCTTCGTCTGGAAGCTTTTGTCCTCTCTCCTCCTTTATCCCTTCTGAATTCCAGCGGGTCGACTCTCATGTCGTCTCTAATCTCTCTGCTCCTCCTCCATTTATTTTGACCAGGCATGGAGAGTCCTTCATGACCTTCATAGCAGTAACCACTTTTCTCATCTCGAATTCCTTGCACCCACCTCGCTACCCCCAGGTGTTGGTTCGATTAGGCGGACTGGGATCTCTCTGCTCTCCATGCTGCTCTTCCCTGCCCATCTGGGTGTATCCTGTGCTCCTTCCTTTATCGTAATGCCATACAAGACACTGCTCTCCGCTGTCCAACACTGTGCCTCACATGACAAACGGAGATGTGCCCTTTGGTGGAATGCTGACTGTGCTAGGGTTTGTGCACCATAAGCGAGTAGCCTGGAAGAGGCACCGTCGCCGAAATATGCCCGAATCTTTTGCTTAGGAAGGCGAGTGCAGAGGATAGGGCCATAGGTACGGCTAAGCATGAGTATTGGAGGTCTTATGGCTCCACAATAACAGTTGACACCTCCCCCCTCTCCCTCGCATCTGGAAGACCTTCCATATGATTGGAAGGTCTTCCAATTATAGAGAAAATTTATCGACCGTCCTTTTTCTCCGTGGTTCAGATGTGGCAGACACGGTGCTAGTCCCGATTTAAGTTGGTTGGCATTTCTCATCTGTTAACTCTGGTGCTCATCTTCCTTCTTCTTTCCACATTCATAATCCCTATTTATCTTGTCCCCTTAGATTTCAACACTCACCTTCGTCTCCCCTATAATGATCTTTTCACTCTTCTCGAACTCCATTCCGCCTTGTTCCTGTTCAAATCTACGGAGGCGGACTCTGATGGTATTCACTGAGATGCTTAGTCATCTCCCTCTGTGCTCCTTGCAATATTTTCTACGCATCTTTAATGATATCTGGGGACCTCCTTTTGTCCCTCATGATAAGCTCAAGGCTGTTTTTCTTACTTTTAAGAAGCCTGGTATTCAGGGGACCTCCCCTAAAAATTTTAGAATCAATTCCTTACAGAGCTGCATTTGCAAACTCTTTGAGCTAGTGATTGGCTGTATAATTTGGTTCCTGGAACATCGTGGCAGCTTTTCCCTCTTGCACTTTTTTCAAAAGGTCTCAAACAACAGATATTTTGCTAGACTGGGAGGTTTACATCTGTACTGCCTTTATTGCAAAGTCCTATGAATAAATCCACAAGGGCCGTGACGAGGATTCAAACCTAAGTCCGAGCCATAACTTTTCTGGGTGGGGGGCTGGATGGGCTTTATGAAGGGTGCGGGTCTGGATCTGCTTTTCGGAGGGGTGGGGATGGATCGGCTTTTCGGGGAGGGGTGGCTGGATTGTTTTTTTGCAGAAAGTGGGGGGGGGGGGGGCTGGATTGCTTTTCACAGAAGGGAGGGCTGGAATGGCTTTTCGCAGAGGGGGGGGGGCTGGATTGGCTTTTCGCAGAGGGTGGGGAGCTGGATCAGCTTTTTGGAGGGTAGGGGGCTGGATCGGCTTTTCGGAGGGTAGGGGGCTGGATCGGCTTTTTGGAGGGTATGGGCCTTGATCGGCTTTTAGGAGGGTAGGGGGCTTGATCGGCTTTTCGGAGAGGTGGATCGGCTTTTCGGGGGGGGGGAAGCTGGATCGGCATTTCGGGGAGGGTGGGCTGGATCGGCTTTTCACAGACGGAGGTGGTGGTGGATTAATTGGCTTTTCGCTGTGGAAGGGCTGGATTGGCGTTTCGCAGAGCGGGGTCTGGATTGGCTATTAGCAGAGCTAGGACTGGATTGGCTTTGCGGAGGGGGGCTGGATTAAATTTTCGGAGGATGGGAGGGGGCTATGATGACTTTTCCGAGGAGGGGGCTGGATTAGAATTTCGGAGAGAGGGACTGTGACAACTTTTTTTTTAGGGGGGGGAGGTGACATAGTTCGGTTATTCTGAGGGGGGCTGAATTGGCTTTTCTGAGGGGGGATTGGTTTTTTGCTGGATTGGGTTTTCGGGGAGGGGGGCTTGATCGGCTTTTCGGAGGAGGGAGGTCTTGGTCGGGTTTTTGGCGGAGGGAGGGGGGGATTTGCTTTTCGAAGGGGGCTGGATTGAGTGGCGAGTGGCTGGCGTGGCTTTTGGGGGCGAGTGGCTGGCGTGGCGTTTGAGGGCGAGTGGCTGGCGTGGCTTTTGGGGCGAGGGGCTCACGTGGCTTTTTGAAATTAGAAAAATTAGACTTTGAAACCTTTAAAGAAATTTCACATATGATAAGGGACCTCAACCTAACGTCACCAGATGAATTTCAGTCATTCTAGCACTTTGTTTCATATCAAAGGTTCTTCTAATTTTGGTAAAGCGCCTTTGCACAATTTACCGTAACTACGTAGTTTAATAATGTCTTCTTAGCATATCCTTGCTATGAGAAGCCTTATTCACATTTCTTCTACATGTTAAAATTTGTTTGTTGGGGCATTTTTGTGGGGGAATTTCTTTGACGCATTGTTAATTCAAAGTCTTGATTCTGTCATTTTCAACGAACCTGTACTGTCTTTTAAACGAAGTCTTTATACAAATTTTCAATGATACAATGATCCCACACCTAACATTGGAATCATCTCACTGATAAGTGCAGCATTTCCTACACGTTTCTACCGGTCGCCCCGGTAGTATCTATACTGGTCGCCCCGGTAGGGTCTATCCCGGTCACCCCGGTAGTGGTTTATGCCGGTCACCCCGGTAGGGTCTCTACCGGTCGCCCCGGTAGGGTCTATACCGGTCACCCCGGTAGGGTCAATACCAGTCGCCCCGGTAGGGTCTATACCGGTCACCCCGGTAGTGGTTTATGCCGGTCGCCCCGGTAGGGTCTATACCAGTCGCCCCGGTAGGGTCTATACCGGTCACCCCGGTAGGGTCTATACCGGTCACCCCGGTACTCACTGGCACTCATCCCGAAATAGGGAAATTTTTTAATTTTTGTAAATCAGATTAAACAACATGGATAAGTAAGAATAGATGAAAAAAAAAGAAAATTAACTTTGATGCTTATATGGCGGCGATGGTAGATGTAAAATGAATGAAGTTTCACAAGTCATAAAACACAAATTTACGGTGAACTAGAAGATGCATTAAGATATTTAGTTTAGTTAATTTGCTTGATGAGTGGTCTTAGTCGTTATGATACGAAACAGTTGACTGACTGTAGCATGAACTAGAAAGATGTTTTAAATAGTTTGATACGATATAAAAGTTATGATCCTGGAAAATTGGCATAAAGATTTATAACTCATAAAAACACAGATGAAAGTTGAACTTGTAGTTTGCTAAAGACGTGTTAATAGTATTGTTACTACAGCATTTATGATGCTTTCCGGAAAGACTGTCTTGTTATAAACAAAGTTTACTTTATTATTAAAGTCGAGAGTGAAAGATTTTTGTTACCGTGTAAAGGGAAAGATTATCTTAGTCATGATATCGAAGAACATGAGATCGTAGAGGATATGTTAATAATATGCGTACGGGCAGAACGTAACATTGGAGCACACAGGGTGGGGTATGGAACTATTAGGGGGAAAGCGCTAAGCCATCACGACTATATAGCACTGAGAAGGGGTCTGGATAAGGATTTGGGATCGGGGGAAAAGAAATTGTACCCAACCACTTGGACGGTCGGGGATTGAACGCTGACCTGCATGAAGCGAGACCGTCGCTCTAACGTCCAGCCCAAGTGGTTGGACAATGAATGAAAGGTGTGAAGAATGTTAGGAATTTATTTAGAACGTTCACTTAAGTGTAAAGATCGAGGGGTCAAGTTCATCCACACTCTGCTCTCACACTCAGTCCCTCGACCTCTCTCATCCGCATTCCTGACCATCCGCAGCCTCACCCGTCCTCCTTGTCATCTACCCCCTCGCCGGTCGCCCCTCCCGGTACACCCAGTGCACCCCGGTACTTAGACACGTGATTGATTGATAAAGATTAAGCCACCCAAAAGGTGGCACGGGTATCTGGACTGAGCCCGTAAGTGGTGGCCCTTTTGAGCCATTACCAGTATCAAGAGCTGATACTGGAGATCTGTGGAGGTGCAACTGTACCCTGCGTGACGGGAGTTACAACGAATGACTTAGTAAGCTTGCTATGACAAACACTCAGATATAACCTGTACTAGTAGATGCATAAGATGGATTTGTTTGTTGCTTAGAGTTTTTTTTAGTTGATATGTAACCGTTTCTCTGGCTGTAAGATGCGGCTGCATAAGGATGTCGTAATTACTTCTGTTACAAATTAAAACAGTAACGATACGATACAGAAAGATTGGTTTAGTAAAAAAAATTTATCAGAAGTTGACATAGAAAACTTAATCGTTTACTGTAAGAAAATCTATGTTACAGATCGTTATATCTTAGTAAAAAGATCTAAGAAGTACATCTTACAGTACAAGTCTCATGAAATGAAAGGTGTGAAGAATGCTAAGAATTTAATTAGAATGTACGGTCATGGTCAACCAGGCTCACCCGCGCACGCTCATCCACACTCAACTGTGCTCACTTTCGCTCTCACCACACACACACACACTGCTCACGTGCTTGTTTACGCTCATCACGCTCTGAAATAACTGGGAAAATGAGTAGTTTAGTAAGAATTAACATGGCATTGAAATAATCTGAAAATGCTATGTCATTTACTTCGTCCAAAATATGATACGATAAATTAAAACTGCAATAACAGAGCTTTACTACACCCCAAAAAATCAAAGTATCCCAATGCATCTAAGTAACCCATTATAACTTAGTGGAATTCATCTACCCAATCATCCAAAGACCAGGCAGATATGATCAATGATCACTAAGTAGTGAATCCTTTGGTCCTATGTAACCTCCAAAGGATACCTGATCAACCAGGCTGTGACTCATACGTCAGGCTGCGAGCAGCCGCGTCCAACAGCCTGGTTGATCAGTCCGGCAACCAGGAGGCCTGGTCGACGACCGGGCCGCGGGGACGCTAAGCCCCGGAAGCACCTCAAGGTAACCTCAAGGTATGACTAGGGGCAAAAACCATCTTGGGAAGAAACATCATCTCACCCAAAAAATATCTAAATACGAATTAGTACACTCGAATGACTAGGAATGTGGACTTTATCATGTACAAAATGCGAAGGTTTAAAACAACTAACACTGGGGTCCGAGAGCTAGAGACTCTAAATTGGCACAAATAGATGTGCTGCACCTGGGCAACACATCTCTCAACACTGTGCCAGGCCACACATTCCTGTGCTCCTGGGATGCACGCTTGCACGCACTCTTCCATCAGTCATCCCATGGAAGGGTTGGTCATTGTCCTAGATTACACTACTCTTGCGCAGGGTAAACTGCATCTTTGCCCAGAGCAAGCCGCACCCATCTTGCCCAGGGCAAAGCGCACCCCTCCTGCAGCTTGTTTCTGGTAATGACATGAGAGGCATGTTTACGAGGGGACCTCTGCCATGGAAATCCTCGTTAAATCTACCCACTAATACTGGTGTCCACAACCAGTGCATTTCAGCTGCGTCTGAATAGAGCACTGCTTAAAATCAAGGCTGGAAAAGCATTAATACAGTTCTAAATGGTGCATAACTAAGTTTTTGAACACGGTATCGCACGATATTCAGATGTAAAATTGTAGTTTTAATCTGAGTATTCAGGTAAGGCATACAACCTCATAATAGGGCATTGGAATGGCTAGTAAAAATTTAGATATACATCCAAAGCACCTACTCAACCCTGTGCCATGGAAAGAGAATAGATTTCCATTTGCCCTGAATCGTATATTACAGGCTGATGATGCAGTGTT